TTTTATAGAATATTTCCAATAAATAAATATTTCCAACACTCACACCAATTAGCCTAGCCCCAAAGTAAGCACCATAAGGCTTGTATTATGGGATACTAGGGTAACGGATAGAATACATAGACTGTACATATATAAGTATATTTTTATAGAAATAAATGTTAAACATCCATGACTGGAGTACACAAATGCTCGTATTCATCACACAAACATCTGCCCCCACCGGGATTTGAACCCAGGACCTCTCGAGTCGGCGACACCATGAAACCCGGCGTACAAACCACTCGGCCACGGAGGTCGTCGTCGAATAAATTAAATCAAGCCAACGTGTTCATACATCTGAAACACTAATGAGATTTTATTGAGTCAAACAATCTGTAGAACAAGACAAGTGTAAGTAAAACACATTCCTTGAATATTGAAGTCTATCTATTTCCGTTCTAGAGATAATCATATGACAGGCTGAATAGACAGACAAAAGAGGCATGTTAATAGGACCCCTTTGTCATCTCTTGAGTACGGATTCCTCGAAATGGTACGATAATTTAAAAGATTCGTACATAGATATGACTGTGGAATCCAGGTGAAATCGTATGGCGTATCAGCCCATTTGCATGACGATTTTTATTTGCGTTTAATGCACGAAAGTGTTGCGGATTCCCGCCATTAATATTAATTTATTCGGCACTTTGATGAATGTAGTGAGTTCAAATAGCTACTTTGGTAGTGAAAGTAAGTCTCTAACTAAAGTTTGAATTGAATGAATGAATGATCATTTTTTTGTACACCATGGAATTTCAAATTACAATTAATTAAAACTATTACATTAAAGTACAAACGGCGGCCTTATCGCTAAGAAGCAATTTCTTCCAGGCAACCGGTATGTTAACTGGACTGTTACATAGAGAGTGGGAATTGGTATATTATGTGAGCTTATAGACTATATTTCGTGCATAGTTTTTTTTTAAACACACCAATTAGCCTAGCCCTAAAGTAAGCACTATAAGGCTTGTGTTATAGGATACTAGAGTAACGGATAGAATACATATACTGTACATATATAAGTATATTTTTATAGAAATACATAGTAAACATCCATGACTGGAGTACAAATGCACGTATTCATCACACAAACATCTGCCCCCACTGGGATTCGAACCCGGACCTCTCGAGTCGGCGACACCATGAAACCCGGCGTACAAACCACTCGACCACGGAGGTCGTCAAAGTTGCTGGTCTGCTATCGGGCCTCCCGGGTGGCGAATGGGTGTACCGGCGTCGGCTGGCGTGGACCAAAAACAACGAGAGCTCGTAACCCCGGCCGTAGTGCAGGGCTGACGGCCTCCAACTTCCTAGGCGGGTGGGTGTCGCGAGGAAGAAAACCTCTGTCAAAAAATCACCCTGAGGGGTCTCGGCTGGCGTCCTGGGCATCCCGGGTAACCATAGTTCAGTAGGCTGGGACGTGAACTTCGCGTCATCTCCAGCGCCAGCTAGTGGAGCGGGACCGGGGCCCTCTCGGTTTGGGAGTCGCAAGGAGACAACCTTCATAAAAATCACAACGATGAGGCCGGCTAGGGCTCCTACGCCCGTAAGAGGAAAGTCGTATTATGATGTCTCGTTTCAGAATTTGTGTTTGACATGCTCTCAAGCTGACGACGGGCGCTCTGGCGTAGCTGGACGCCATAGTAAGTAGTATGCTACTAGCGACATATGCGCTCCGGCTGGTCACCGGCGCCAGGGGGATAGCGGTACCTGTGGTGTGAAATGCACTGTCGAGGTGTGTGCATTGGCGTGGAAAGACCTTGGCCAGGGCCATTCTAAAGGCCTTTTCAGGTCCATTGAAAGGACCAGCTCAGGACCACACTGTCGAGGACGCAGGAATTATACGCCTGAAAGGAGGAAGAGACGAAGAGCCAAGGGTTCTTCGTAGTCACGTTAGTCAGAGGGCGGAAGATGTACCACCGAAGGTTTATTCTGCGTCGATCCCATGTGCCCAAAGTGTGGAGTTTGTCTCTGAGGTATCCAAGGTAGGAGAAAGGTTGTGGGCAATATGATTGGTGTGAGGAGAGGAATAAGGAGCTACCTTGCTGGCGAGCAGAGCCGAGCTCCAGCAGAGCGAGCTGGAGATCGGCCCAATGAGTGATTGGGGTTCGATAGAGACGCCTACTACAAATAACGCTCCTGATCCGCTTCCGCAGAATTGAAAGAACACTAGGAAATGGACAATCGGATCCAGATGTTTTAACCCAGAGGAAATCAGTGAGGGAAGTGATGCGGACATTGTGCCTGCCGCACCACCGAAAAAAATAACACATTGCGCAGGGGTTGTTATGTGAGTACTAGCTGATCGTACATTGGCGATGCCAAGGCTGTACGCCAACTGCGGGGTACGAAGGATGAGAAATTTGAGGTCGAGTTAGAGGATATAATCGACGATGCAGGGCGAAGACCGACCACTATGTCCCAAACCATGACACCGAGTTTTGAAATGCGGCAATCTCCCCCAAAGTCACCAAAAGGAGCGGCTAAGCTAGTCCTTGAGCAAATGACGTGGTTCTGGATCTCCCGCAAGAAGAAGGGGCTTAACGATGTAGAGTCCGTGCTCGAGAGATTTTTAGAACAAAAATATTGCTTTTCTTCCACTCAGTATTTTTTTTTTAATAATTAAGAGAAACATTTTTTAATTTTAGACTCACTTTAGTATTATATTACTTAAATCAAGGAATTTTATATACTTGATTTGAATTAAAATGATTTTAGAATAACTACAAATTACTAAGATTGAGATATTTTACTTTATTAAAGGTTGCTTAGAAATAAAGATTATTTTTTGTATGACGAATACTTGGCTGTAAAATACAGGGTGTCTTGACTTAAGTAATATTATGTCGCAAGTTAGATGTATTATTCTTGTAAAAAGTAAATCTTTTTACAGAATATTTTATATTATTACGAAGAAAATATTGTCTAGCGTCTATAGGGAGAGGATCTATTTCTTGGATTCATTAAATATGTCTTAACAAAAGTAATTTGTCTTTAATAAAAAATCTTTTTTTTACCGTGTACACACAGACAGAAACATTATAAAATGAGTAGTGTTTATCATCATTTATAGGAAAAAAACAGCCCTTGCTGAGTTTCTTGCCGGTTCTTCTCAGTACAAGGTCTCCCGCCGTAGTTTTGCGAACCGATGGCGTAGCTTCTTGACCTTCATAAGTGCTTGTAACAGCCTAGACTGAATAAATGAATTTGAGTTTGTGTTTATCTCACCGTGGAATTTTGTAAGTCTGGAGTTACTTCAGCTCTCTTATTCCAGAAACTTGTGTAAAGTTTTTGTATGGTCGGAAGATTATAATGCAGGCAGCGAATTCAAAATTTGTTATAAAAGTATATGTATATTCCTTAAATTTGCAGCTCCGAGATATAATTATAGGACAAAGAACAACGTCGACGCAATGATAATTAGAATTATAAGGTCAAAATAAAGTCCCCGTAACTTTTTTATTAAACAACTTCTGCAACAAAAGTGCTCGGGGATCAAGGAAAGTAATTTTTACAAATGAAGAGTAGTCAAACGCTTTGAAGAACTCTCCAACTGTTCCTAACCAAACCCTTCAAAATAAACAAAGAATAAGCTTGGATTAATTACTCCCTGTTTTGCCTTTGTCAATTGAAATACAAATGGCATTTGAATGACATGAACAAAACATGGCGTAACTAGTCTAAGCATATTCCTTGTTTATATGATTTCACACATATTATAGTTTTCATTGAGTCAAAAACCGAGTGTTATATTTTCAAATTAATAAAATACACGTCATCAATTGGACCAAGCAAAAACACAATGGAACCCTAATTACTGTTAATTCACCGACAACACGTACTCGATCCACACACAGTTTTAATGTGCGTTATTAATTTACCCCTTTTTGCGGACTCTCCAGAGTGTTCACTCATTTATTAACGCTGGCAACACTGCCATTAGTTACATCGAACGAGAACTACGTGTAATCGTTGGAGTAATTTCCGTAGTAAATTTGTTTAGTTCCCAAAGATAAGGAAGAGGGAAAAATCGGGAGCAACTTTAGCGGGTAAATTAATTAAGGAGGCACTCAGTTTCAATTTGGTGCAAATTAGTGGTGGATACGTTCGTGTATCTATCGGGGAGAAATATTACTCTGTTTCGGCTAGTGCTGGCTTGTGACGTCATTGACCCGGCAACTTATACTTTACTAACTGCCCGTGGACGAACGGGAAATCATTCATTAATACAAATATTTGGTGATCAATTTAGTTGATCTACTTATAATAGTCCGTTTTGAAATCATTATTATTTTTCACTTTAGAATAAATTAACAACGCGCTCTTGCTCGCTTCGGTGAAGGAAGACTTAGTTTTTGTTCTCGGTCATACAATATCGTATACATGTCGTAGGTTGATCTGACAAATCGCATTTCCGCGAAAATTCCGGGGATTTCGCGATAATGTCAGGCAATGGCGATGACATTTCACAATCTTACGGAAGAAAGATAGATTGCGATAGCGCGAATCGCCTCAGTAAGATTGCAGAAAAAATCGTTGGCTTATTACAAATAATCCCGGGTTTCTGGCAATGAAAGATTATCTAATCTTAGAAACTGAACCATAATCTTTTGCGTGGTTTCGGGGATCATTCTTTTTACTCTACGAAGAGATTATAGCTGGTAAGAAGGATCTTAAAACTCGCGTCTTAGACCAACGAGGTGCGTTTTATAAGACGATCAATGAAACTAAAACATTTTATTCCGTCACTTTGAGTTAAGTTGGCTTCTTAGATTTTCAATAAAATCTCTTTAAAGCTAGTGTTTCTCGAAAACAAGTCTTTTTTCGATTTTCAATGCAAGAAATATGTGAACAGCAATTCATTTTTGTACATTAGTTATTTAATTTTAGATTTTATATAAAGAATTTTCTCACTCAGACTCACGCGGTCAGCGTAGCTATAGATCAGTGCTTCTACTTACCAACACAGGGGTTGTGGTTGACGAGTGCGAAGATGCGGTCGCACCGTTTCTTCATATGGGTGTTGGGGCAGATGCAACCGAACAGCGGAGACAGACGAAGACCAGCCCAGGCCTCGCGACAAGTCTCCCTGAAACACATACCGCCTTATTACAAAAGGTTAAAGTAAACCCAGTCGATCGGTCCTCAAATCTTGGAGATATGCGCGAACAATTATAACAAAAAATATACAGACGAATTGAGAATTCAAGTTAGTCAAAAATGATGTCACCTATATTTGCTAAAAAAAGGATATAGGTAGTATATTACATAGGGATATTACAAGACGTCAAAGTTCAAGACGGTCTAAAAGTTATGTCAGCTTTGTTTGCTAAAAAAAGGATTAAGACAGTATTAGGTTTAAGTATAGACATAGAAAATGTAGTGAATCTTCCCTGTCCATCGGTAAAGGAATACTGGGTAGATCAGTAAGAGAGACGAAACGATCATACGGCCAATAGTTCGTATAGGAATTGGCCGCACCTATCTTTCTCTCTTTCTAGACAGTTGTAAGTTTTATGTGAGTGTCCCTCACTCAGGTTTAAACCAAGTCTAACTTTAGTCCAGGTTAATGCAAAGAATGCGGCAAATGTATATAATATAAAATTGCAATTTGTCACCCACTGGACCTAACATAATAGTTTAATGAAGTAATTCCTGTTTTAGTTTGTACGAACGTTACATTGTAACAAATTGATAGCAGACTTCACCTGAGAACGGGGAATGAGTAAAAAAAATTGAGTTTAGGGTAGAAACAATTCAAATTATTTTTACTATTCATTAAGAAAAGTTCCTTAGGCTTATTGTTTTTAGTGGAATCACTTGCATTATGGCCATATCGCCCCGGCAACTTAGACAGGTTAGTTGTTGTGGATAAGAAAATTAGTAAAAGACGAAGAGGCCGTTCACCTGTCTGTTGGTTTACTGTCGTGAGTTGTTGAGTGACTCTACTAGCCGTTGTCGTAACGGGTACGCTCTTCACTCCGCTCCGAAAGTGGGCTATATTCAATTCTTTTACTCTTTCCCAAGTACTAATTTAAAACATTTACGGAGCTCAAGTCCACATAATAAGGGATATAAACGTGCCAAATTAATATACTATTTATATTCTTTGTTTTATGTAAAAAGGGCGGCAATCAAGTGCATAGACCGCCTGACGTTAAGCGGCCTCCATAGCATTATAAACGCTTGGGATACCTAAAATTTTACTCGCATCGTTGCCTACTCAGTCCCAATCCCTTACCTCGTAGAGCTCTGGAATCTTACTCACCGACTGAAACACAACACCACCAAAAGGTAGTCTTATTTTACTGTGAGCTTTTAAAAGGTGGAGGTTACTTCCCCTAGACGGAAACTCCAATTCGAGCGAATAATCCGCTGCTCTACCTCTCTTAGTTGTCATTTGGAACATTCACAATTTTATTTAGGGTTTGCGTAACATATATTTTGTTGTTCTTTGCCTATTTCATTCTATTGTTTGTTCTTCTTCTTTTTAAATTCACTTCACGTCTCTTCTTTCATCATCATGATCATTTTAAATTCTCAGAACCTGTCCATACCATAAGTAGCTGGTACTTGTTCTTGTTTCTAAGACTGGTGCTACTTTCAAAAATTGTCTAAAGTTCTCATGTTTCATTAAGTGTTTGTTATCAAAATCAAAAATAATTTATTCAGTCTAGGCTGTTACAAGCACTTGTGAAGGTCAAGAAGCTATGCCATCGGTTTGCAAAACTACAGCTGGCGACCTTGTATTTAGAAGAATCGGCAAGAAACTCAGCAAGGGCTGTTTTTTATTACCTGTATTATTAAATACAGAGTTGTCAAGTTGAAAAATGACTTCAGAGATACTTCTTCCAGCCACCTTTCATTACATCATTTGGGATATAGATATATAGTTACAATAAATTTTATAGTTAACTTTAAATTTAGTATATAGGAAGCGGCATTAGATAGGTACCATATTACTGTTATGAAAAATGATTAATACCCATCAAATAACAAATTACAAGAAACACTATGTCCATGCATTACGATCAATTAGATAATCATTAACTTCATAATAGCCTTTCTTCATAAGAGTATCCTGATCTGTGATTTAAATTTGGTCAGTGGAAGCTCAATCAGATCTTGGGGAACTTTATTAAACAATGCAACACTACAACCCAGAAATGAATCTCTTGATTTTTGGAGTCTGAATCATGGAACGGAGAGCTTGTTTTTAAATCTCGTGTTAAAGTTATGGGTTTGACTTTTTTTTGCAAATGCGTCATACTTTTTATCATTACTTCACACATTCATCTTAGTCACGTGTATACAATTCTCAATCGTGTCTTAGACAAGATTATTTATATTAGTTTGGGGCACTACCACTGCTAGATTAACACATTTAAAATGCAATATTTCAAAGTAAGGTTGCACTTTATCCCCGGAAATAAATGAAATTTTCAAACGAAACGACTCGACTGTGGGTTTTATTTGTTTCATGTGGTCGAGATAACGTCTCTCTCAAAACATTGACAATGTACGCAGGCTTTGTCACTTTGTGTGAATATGCACGTTTTGCTTTTTTCCCTAGTACCGGAAAATATAACTTTTTAGTCCCTTTCTAAATAAAACAGTTGTTGAATGTTAATAAATTGCATTTTCCCTATTAACGAGTAACTAGAATTAACAAGATATAAATTATGTTTAGTTGTTAGATGTTTAAATCTAAAGAAAATAATTATAAGATATTTTATATTACAACAGATAATATTTTTTTCAGAAGGTATGAAGATATAATTATGAAATAACTTTGTTCTAAAATGTACTTACATAGTTTTTAAGGTTTGATTGTTACTAACATTTCTATGGATCTAGTATTTGAAATAAAACATTATTATTATTTTATGTGAGCCTTTGAGATAGCCAAATTACTATGTAGGCGATTGAATCTTAGTAAACTATGGGAGGGAAATAACTTCAAAATCACTATTTTTTAATTTAGCGTAAAGGGATTTTCGCAATCCACATACTTAGGTGGTGAAAGGCATTTCATCCGTTTTAATTACGGAAAACTTGAGCCATTATTGACAGGCGGCTAGGCTTGACGATACAATTGGTTTTAAGCAATAATTTTACTTAATGTAGCGATATATAAAATTTCAGATTTGGTTATAAATTGGTTGACAAATGAAAGAAATAAGAAATGTAGAGATTTCAATATAAAACTGTCATCCCACGCATGAAACATGTATAACAAAGAATTTAAAAATAAAAGCTCATCGTATTTCAAGGGCCATTAAGCAGAACTTACACATAACAGATTTGCTTCAGTCTGCGATATTTTGAACTGGTTTATTTTCGAGATTTCGCCTGTACCGAAATAGGCGTTCGCTCGCTTCGTTTACCTGAATCTGAACCACGATCGATACATCGAAATAATTCAGAACGCGGACATTCGAAGGGATTTGAGAATGGATGGCGAATTGTGTATCCAATGATATAATTAAAGCGACGTGTATTTGTTAGAGGCTATTGCGAAATTCATGCTGCCCGTTAGGTCGGCAACTAGACAGAATTATTCGTGGAGTGTTTGCGTTGCAAATCTGTTTTGCCACTTTTCTGCATTTGGTTTTGAAAGCATATTTACTCATATGTCTTCGGATATAAAAAAAAATATGACTTCGATATACATTACAGTAAATTAAGAATTAAACTCAATGCTATACAGTGAAATCGTCTTCTTATTTCCACTTTGGTGTCACTTACATACTTACCTTATTACCCTCAGCTCTTTCGCGCTTACTCCTCGGGAATGGACTCTAAACCGATTTTCTTAGATGCAACTGTAGTTATAGGTTATTCTGTCTTCGGGGAGGGCCTGTTCTCTAGCAGTGGAAATATTGATAGGGCTGATTATGAGGATGAATAAGGGTACCAAAGCTGACCTATCTTCCTTGGGGCATTCCCTGTCACGGGCCTTACACGCGTTCTTGAACCGGTTGACGAGCAGGGAGCATGCTATCTCGTTGTAACATACTTTCAGGGCGTAGCATATTAATAGGATGAATAAGGGTACAACAGCTGACCTGTCTTCCATGCGGCATTTACCGTCACGAGCCTTGAACACGCTTTTGAACTGGTCTGAGAGCAGACGTCTTCTCTCTGTGGAACACGCTCAGTGCGTAGCAGGTAATGAGGATGAATAAGGGTACAACAGCTGAACTGTCTTTCATGCGGCAGTTACCGTAACGAGCCTTGAACGCGCTATTGAACCGGTCGGAGAGCTGACGTCTTCTCGTTGTGGAACACGCTCAAGGTGTAGCAGGTTATGAGGATGAATAAGGGTACAACAGCTGACCTGTCTTCCATGCGGCATTCCCCGTCACGAGCTTTACACGCGTTTTTGAATCGGTCGAAGAGAAGGGAGCATGCTTTCTCGTTGTGGCAAACGCTCAGGGCGTAGGTGCAGGTCGGCAAGGTCTCCACGGGGTACGGGTCCTTTTCTGTAATACAAATGTTTGTGTTACTATTTTATTACATTGAAGTTATAGCTCATTGGCGCGTTGATGTTAAAAGTGATTTTATTTAAGTTCTGAATGAAATGAAATGACAAAACCTTTATAAAAAACTTATGAATAAGAAAATAAAAAAGAACTTAACTTAAGAACAAAAAATATTAACACTAAAACTAAGGCGGCCTATCAGGCGTCCCAGGATCTCTTATAGTTTAGCATAGTACGATATGTCCGTTTTCCGCAGCTAAACTAGCTGTTTAACTGGTACATATTGAAGAAGCCGAGAAAGGAGAGAAGTAATACCCCGATTTTTTTAAGGAGTTGAATGATATAGCGAATCTTGGATTTGGAGTCGATTCATTAACCAGTCGATGGAGCGTTTTCGATACAGCGGCATTCCCCGTCTGTCTGGATTGTCGATTCAGTGACAGTCGATATTACGAACCAGACCAGGCCCAGTAGAAATGTACAGTATTAGAAAATGTAATTTATAATACTGCTGTATATTTCTGTTTTATACCGTTGCACCTTACATTCTCAGCCGTTCCACAATTTTAGCATGAAGCAATGTATGCTCAATACGAACTGTAATAAAATTTGAACATCTTGTATGCAGCCGTCATGTCTATTCAAACATTACACTGGCTGATCATAATTCAAATAAAACGCGGAATAATTTATTGGTACATTTATGTAGCAGCCGTATTTACTGTTTGCATTTCACATAGAAATGTTTGGAACATGTTTGTTTGTCGTGGGCAGCTTTGTATATAATCGTTTTCGACATTGTTTTAATATTATTTTAGTTTAGTATTAGTATTTATTATATATTTGTTTAGTTATTCATTTAGTTTTTGAAAAACCAACAGTTCACAATCATAATAAAAAAATATATACGTAGAAAAAGTTGGCCAATGATAGGTTCTTACTTGTAGATACAAATTACATTACAATGTATGCTTAATAGTGTTAACAATTATAAATTTTCAGATTAGCACTGCAAACTCAATTTATTCATATATTCAGACATAGAACCCTTTGCATTTGTCAAACTAGTGTGAAACATCTTCTAAATTTTAACTTTACATAAATCATTTTGCCTGTTACTTGCTCGCAGCAGAAAAGAGTTTTGACGGTAGTTTGAGAATATCAGGGGCACACTGATCGGAGTGTAGTGCCTAGCAGACTTTGTCGGGATATTAAATTTAAGTTAAGACAGAAGTTCAGGAGAATCTTTTATGTTAGAGAAAAAAAATCCCTTACAGATATATATTCTGGCTTGTGTGTTAACAACAATAAATCTCAATACTAAGCTAAATGTTAGTGTTAAACCCACGATTAAATATCCCTACCAAGATCTGAACCAGGAATCTTTGGAGCAGAAGCATTGCCATACCACCAACTTGTCATCAAGGTTTTATCACTCGGTTAAAAGACTCTTGTTTTTATTAACCACCTTATTTTTATTTTATTTTAAGTCTATTGTATAAAAAGGAGACGACAAACCTTTCTTCATGACAAACACGCAGGGATGGTCGAACAAGAAGTCGCGGAAGGAGTTACACTCGGGGTCCACGTTTGGTTCACGACAGAGGCAGGTCGGCTTGAAGAACGGGAACGCTTGCAGAGTCTTCAGGGCGGCTTGGCATTTCGTCACGGTCACAGTAGAACAAGCCACTGTAACAAAAATAAAAAAAAACATATATATTCGTCATCATTTGCACAAGGTGGCTGGCAGGAGCTGGATGCGAGTAGCCCAAAATCGATCTCAGTGGCGTGCAATTGCAGAGGCCTATGTCCAGCAGTGGACTAGGATAGGCTGTTGATGATGATATATTAATCATCATAATCCTCCGCTTGTTATTTTAATATATCCACTGCTGGGGCATAGGCCTTTCCTATAGCTGAAATAAAGATATTGGACCATGACAGTGGGATATTAGGAATTCAAACTCGCTTTCGTTCGGCCGCAAACACGATCTCACTCATAGGTTTAAATTCTCAATATCTCAAATGGGAATATGTGTAAATGCAATCGGTTTCCAGCGTAATTCAATCGCTGTCGTTGTTGGTTCTTTTCGTTAAGATCAAGACACAGAATTTATTTTACTCGTACCCGTCGTAATCTTATCACAGTTTCGATAAACTGCTTGAATTTTATTACCTATCAAGTATTAACACAAAAATCTTGATTATTATTTTAGTCTACAACAAAGCAAAAATACATAATTAGAATCGCATGTCGCTCATCGATGTTACGTGTCTTTTTTTTTGAGTGTGTATGCTGTTGGTCGCAGATGACCTTTACAGCGACACCGGGTTAGGGGACGGCGAGATCCTAAGGGAGACCTCAAGTCGAGAATTGGCGAGTGCCTCCAGAGGTATTCCAGGTGGATGGCATCTCCCCACGGGGGATCTCCTCTCTGTCTGGAGCCTCTAGACCATTTGAACCTGAGGGGGTCGGCTCAACTTGAGGGCGTCTCTGAGACTCGAACCTCGGCTCTAGTTAGCCGTTGTCGTGGGGAGTGTCGGACAACTGCAGATGTATATACCTAATGCGCCCGTCCCTGATGGTTTATAATATTCGATGAATGAAAATAAAGCAATATCTGGCTTGATTTATCTGAAACAATTATAAATGATTTTCATACAGTTCATTTTGTTGGGGAAAATTGAGGCAAAATTGAGAAAAGCATGAAACTTCTTTATTCCGTTTTACATACTTGTACTTGTTTTCACAATTTTCAAGTTCAATTTTAATTATAAAGGTAAGCATTTTATATTAAATGATAATCAATACACTTAAAGAGAAAATGGCAAAAGAAAAATTACTATATTTTGAAGTCCACATACGTATGACCTATTTGTCATACCTATCTCGTTAAGGCTATCATTATGATCAAATGTTATTGTTTTGAATCTGATAAGAAAATTATTGATTGATATTACTACAACGTGTTATAAATGTTAATCCAATACTATAAATGTATCAAATGCCATTCTGTAACTTTTTTCTGTAACGTTTTCATAGTCCTTATTGATTATGAGTAAAAAACACTCTTTTCTCATTATTTAATCTTAAAGTATTTTATATGTACATGTTCCTCAAGATTTACCCTTATCAGGGATGTGGAAAGGTCATAGTTTTATTTAAGTTACAATTATAAAACCTACAAATATGTGAACACGTAAAACACGCAAACACGAAGCCCTACAGCCGCCCACAGCTTTATTTGTCACCAGCAATTTTAATTTTATTTCTTTTGTTATGTTTTCTTACCTTAGGTTTGTTTCGAAATGTTTATTTATAAAAAAATACTATATATAAAAAAAAAACCAAGCTCAGGATCCAACCACCGATCATTTTGTGTCGACAGTATTGGAAGACCGTTACCGTTCGGCTATCTGTCTCTAATAATAACTGTTAAAATTACGGATACCTATTTTGTGTCAAATACTCTACTTCCGTTTCATCGAATCTCAAATCACAACGATATTAAAGAAGTTTTAACTTCAAAATACTCCAAAGATTTGTTTAATTTAAGACTGAAATTTTATAAAGATATACAGGGTGAAATTGAATGTTTCAATGAAACTTCGTGGGATTATTGGGTTACGTATATAGAGTATCTCTGATTTTTTTCGGATTTTTTAAAAATGATTTAAAATAAAATTTCGTTTTTTTTTGTTATATTTTAATCTCCTTTTGGGTACTAAATAATTATTCTTTTTAAACACTCATACAGAGTAAGTAAAAAACAACTAATTAGCACTACTAAAAAAACGTAAAAACAGAAGACGAGCGGTCGGGAGCAATGACCGCTCCCGCCGTTGAATCGGTTGAATACCTACCTATGCGCGGTGCAAAGCGCAGTGAGCGAGCGCAGTGTCAAGTTTATCCACCGCGCGTGCGTATCTTTTAAATTTGGGACAAGAGAAGATTTGCAAATAATGCCATGATTAGTTCTTGTTCTGTGGCCTCAATATAAGAAGTTGGATATGGTGTGTTGTTATTGTAGTGTCACGGTATACTCAGCAGAGCCACAAGGCTTTACGAAAGTAGGTTTGGTGATTGATTGTGTTTACAAAGTGTATACGGGAAGTTTAAGTGAAAAAAATGAATAGGTACATCGGTCTCGTAAGTACTTTTGAATACCGGGTTATAAATTTCACCCAAGTATTGAACTGCAATAAGTATTTCTTTTTGTTTAACATTTGCCTATTTCTAATCGTGACAAAATTATTATTGACTTTTAAAGTTTTTCTCCGCTTAAGAGAAGATGACATTTGTGCTTATTATTTCAATAAAGGCATCTAAGACGACTTTATTGTATTGTGTGGAATCAAAGGAGTCAACTGAACTCTGTGTAGAGGTACGTACTCACTCAACGGCTGGCGGGCGCGGTCGGTCGTTGACCCGCCGTGGAATTTTAATGTTTTTCCATTTTTTTGAAGTACTTATTTATTAGTTATTTTTCACTGGATATGTAAGTTTGTTTGTTTAAAATGAATAACTACTCAAAAGGAGGAAATGACATAAAAATACACAAATTATAAATAAAAACATGAAAAAAATACTTCAAAAAAATCCGAAAAAAATCAGGCATACTCTTTTCACGTAACCCAACAATCTCACGAAGTTTCATTAAAACATTCAATTTCACCCTATATAACTAGAGTGGTTAACCTTCACTAATATTTTCTTAAAACATCAATATGCATTGATTATAACACTCCTTACGCAATGCCCGGAAACAATTAGTGTCGAACACGTTTAATCCCAATCCCCTTGTAATGTGTTAATAATGTCTCCTAAGGGTTGCCAGCAAAAAATCCTATTAGTTCAAGGTCCGAAGATCAGTTTCTTGTCCCGCCCACATCGCCATGAGGACCCGCAAAAACCGAACAGGAGATAATCCGGAGAATTAGCCAGTTTTTGCCTTTACCCGATGTGGGAAATTAATCAACAATACTGAGGGTAAAGACCGGTGGGCGGGTAAAAAAATGTTTATGCCTCATTTCTGTGTTTCTTTTGCTTTCTCCGATGTGGGAGAGGAAGAGGTGTGAGTTCCTCATTGATAACAAACACACAGCAAGCTGAAGGATTATCAGTCTCTTACTGGCTCACTGAATACGTCTTAGAGTGCCTCTGGACATACGAGCTTTAAAGGTATCATCGGGATTGATCAAGCTCTGAGAAAGAGATGATGCGGATCTGCCTTGTTATAATTCAAGGATATAATTCGCATAAGGACGGGTTCACTTCTAGTGGGATGCACTCAAAAAAAAAGAACTTCTGACTGCTACATTTATAAATGTAATGAAAATATCACTAGAAAAAAAAAACACTCGGTCAGGTCAGACGGATTCGAACCCACATCTTCTGCTAGCATAAATGGTGGACCTGGACCGAATAGAAAGTATACTGGTAAAATTTTCTTTAGACTTAAAGCAAATAATGTCTCAATAGCAGCCATTGCAGGAAACATTTTAAAAAGGCTAATTTTCCAAATCAGCCAGAACTTGTTGAAATGTTTTTCTGTCTTCAAAGTGTGCATTCGCTTAATGTATTGTTTTTTGTGTCTAACCCTGAACGTGTTTAAAAGCGTTATGAACTTCATCACCCATCGTCAATGCTCTGTGAAGTTTTAACGCGAGCGGGCACACGAATAATAAGCCTTTATCGATTGCTCACTGGTTTTATTTTCGGGAACGTGTAAAAATATCTTGGGGTCGGCGACTTCAATAATTGTTTGGTTAAATTCTCTCGTTCAGATAACGATACCTACTTCGATGTGCATTTTCGAGATATATTCACCAAGTTTCACCATTCAATGAATTAGACCTCTTACAAAATTTTAGATATAAAAATAATATTAAAAGAAAACATCAACGTTATCTATTGCAAACAATTGCATTAATAAAAGCTTCACAGTTTCGTTATCATCATCATCGTCAGAAAACACCATGAAATTTTGTATATAAAAATAACATCATGCAATTAGTCATTGAGATGTGAGATTTTTTGCATTTGGTTGGAAGTTGTGTCAATTTAAATAGTTGTTTAGTTGGCCCCCCGTTTGGAGCGACTAGTGAAATAATACTTATTTGTATTTGTGCAAGCCCATAATTAAGATTTGTAAAGTTGGTTGGCTGTTGTAAATTATGAACCCAGGGCTTAACGGAAGAGTGCAAGCGGCTCTAAAAGAATTCACGAGTACAATGCTATTACAAATAAAAAGTGTTTATGATAGTTTGTTTTGTTTGCAACTGTGTTATTAACTCTGTAACAGGCATATGCGCAGCATGTGTAAACTGGTGAATCCCGAAGATTTCTAAGCGAACGCTTCAGATTAAACCTATAAACAGTTTGGGGCCACGTCAAAAGTGCCCTGCCTAGGGGTTAGTTCACATCGGCTGGCTCATTATGCGCGTTGATGGCGACAGCTGTGACAAGGGTCCTATCGACGCTAATGCTTAAAAATTCCGCCGGATTCCCCCTAATTTGCTACTTGCCCTTTTGAGCCGCCGTGAAATATTGGTCCATTTCTCATTTTCCGATAAAATTATTCTTAGTAGCGTTCACTTTTTTCTGTGTTGTTTGCGTCGTCCTCGTTACAGTAAAATGATATTTTTTTCTCAAATTTCGGCCGTTCGCCGCTTCCGTTCACGATACC